CATCATATTTGGCACTGGGTAGAGGAGAGGTAAGAATAAATTATACATTTAAAATAAAAGTGGAGGTGGTAATCATTATAATGATTTATTTATTTATGTATGCATTTGGTACAGGGTCTCACTACACAACTCAGACTCATAGTGATCCTCCTGTCTCAGCCTTCCCAGCACTCGGATTACATGTGTGCATTGCCATGCCAGGACTCAGTGGCCAGCTCAGCTCACCCAGGGGTGGGGCTGGGGCGGAATGTGGTGCTGCAGATCGAACCCCAGTCCCTGCGCTTGCCTGAGCAGGTGCTTAGACCACTGAGCTGCCTTGCCGTCCCTCCATTATAATGATTATCAATCAATTCCCACCTAGTGACAGTCCCCACTGGTTCTTTGCTAGCACAATCTGAAGTGCCTCTGTCTTGGTCCGATGCCTCAGTTCTGTGTAGTCCCCATCCATGTCCTTCCCTCCTGACCCACCACATCAGCCTGCATCCTTCTGATTCCTATTGTCAGGGAATCCTTAATCTTCAAGCAACTTCTCCTTGGTACCCTCTTCTATGGATGAAAACACTATATCTGACATTTCTTATCTTTTCACAATGCTTCTGCTTAACCTTTTCTCTCTTTTTCTGGTCCATCACAGCCATTATCTGGATTATGGAAATAGGTTCTTTTTAGGTCCCTCCTTCCAATCAGAATAGCAAGTGGTAGTAACTATAGCAATAATAGCTGTTTTATTTATTAACAACCACCTAGGGTTGAGGATGTAGCACAGGGGGAGCATGTGTCTAGAATATGGAAAGCCTTATGTTCGGTCCCAGAGCTGAAGAAATGAAAACCCTTTCTATGTGCTAGAAAAATCCATACAACTCCACAAAATAGGTGATGATAACCCCATATTGGTGCGGATGAAGCTGAGTATACAGACAGGTTAAGTAACTTTCTTTAGTAAGTAATATGGTGTCCAACCTCATTCTGCTCACCTGTCAAAAATATGTCTAAACTTCATAGTGACTAGATCATTCCCATACTTAAATATCTCCAAGACTAAATTCCTGAGGCTGGTGTACATGGCATGACCCTCCAACTCTAGGCTTCCCCATTGACTGTTCCCAAATTACACTCTAGTTTTATCAAGATTCTCATGGGTCCCTGTACCAATGAAGCAGTCTCATGTCCTACATTTCTGTTCATATAGTTTCCTCTATCCAAAACACATTTTTTCTCTCTTTGCCTCAATTTTTAAGGATTTTCTTTCTTTCTTTTTTTTTTTTTTTTTTTTTTGAGACAGCTCCCTGAAGTGCCCAGGCAGGTTAAAGCTCTCCACTGAGTTTCTGTAGCCCAACCTGCTGTATCATGTGGAAATAGGCCCTATATTTGTGTTTTCTCCTTTGACAGAAGAGTGATCAAGCTTTCATTTTGGGTACACCATGGCCCCACCACACCAAACAGAGTATGACACAAGAAATCCACACAAATAATGTTGTGAGTCTCAAAAGGACAGAGAAAACAGGATCACTGCCCGCCACTTCTTGAGCATGGAACAGACATGCTCACATTACAAACCTTCAGAATATAGACTAACTACCATAGTTACCAATAAGCATTTTTACTTATAATCACTTTTGTCAAAATCAAAATTCATATTAATGACTTTTCATCATTATTTGGCTTCATATTTCTCTTTTACCTTAATGATACCAACTTCCATCTCGTCACCAGAATAATTACCCACTAACAAGTGCTAAAGGTTTGATCACGCTCTGTGACAATATTCTAAGTAGCAACAAGTTAGAGTTTAATTAATAGACTTTGAGCCAGATGCTGTTTTGCACCCTAATGTGTATCTGACTTATTTCTTTTAACAATCCAGAGACGATTTTACTCATCAATCTCCTACTTCTTTATATCAGTCTAATTTCTCTACTTTGACAGCTCTAATGTTCATAATCAAAAATCCCTCTGAGGGCCTGCCAAATAGCTCAGTAGATTAAAGTGCCTGCTTAGGCAGGCGCAGAGGCTGGGGGTTTGATCCCCAAGCCTGCTGCACCCGCCCCACCACTGGTGCATGTTGAGCTGGCAATTGAGACTGGGCATGATGGCACATGCCTGTAATCCCAGTACTTGGGAAGCTGTAAACAGGAGGACCACTACAAGTCCAATCTATATAGTGAGACCCTATACAACCTGTACCCCCTGTCCTAAATACAAAAAAAAAAAAAAAAAATCCCTCTGGGACCATGTTTCATTCTTGTTATCCTGAGAACTGTAGTAAATCATTCCATTGGAAGACATTAGCCTAGTATCTCCATTCCTTATAATAGGTAGACCCAGATGGAGTCCTCACTTTCTTTAAAAATGTTACTCCTACAAAACAGCACCCTTTCAGCTAGGCACGGTAGGGAATACCTATCATCCTGACATTCTGGGAAGCCGAGGCTGGTGGATTGCAAGTTCTAGCCCAGCCTGGGCAATTTTGCTACTTTTGCTATTTAATGAAATCCTACCTCAAAATAAAAAATTAAAGCCAGACTGGGATATAGCTTCATATGAGGCTCTTGGGTTCATCCAGAGTACCCCAAAGATGATATTCTTTTGGGGGATGTTTGTTGTTTGGTTTTGAAACAAGATCTCATTATGTAGTATAGGCTGACAAAAACTTATGATCTGCTGCCTTAGTGTCCCACATGGTGAAGTTACAGGTCTACAGCCCAGTGACTGGCACCAATTAAGCTCATTATCAATTGATGTTCTGTTTTCCTCCCCTGCAGCTCAAGCCCCGGGAGCACAGGGAGCACATTCTCTTCACGTTCTCATTTCAAGTTCCTAGCACATTGCATAAAGCACAGCAAGGCTTAATAAATGTCTGCTAAATGTAGACTCATCACCTTCTAGTTCTTTAAAACATCAGTCACAAAAATCTTGCACTTACATGAAAGTTAAGAATAGATAAATTTAGGGAGACAAAGATTAGTAGAGTAGTTTAAGACTGAGTGGAAGAATTTAGGAACAATAAAAAAAAGACTGCTAGCTAATGTATAAGAGGTTCCTGTTAGATCAAACCTGATAATGGTTACATGAGCCTGTGAACATGCTCTTAAAATCTGATTCATATATTCTAATAATTTTTTTAAAATTTTTCTTAGGGAATGGTCTACAGCTTGTTCAAGTTCTCACTACTAGATCAGACTTGTAGTGATCTGCCTGTTTACAGCCTCCCAAGATCTGGGATTCCAGGCATGCACCACCACACCCAGTCTCAATAACTGGCTCAGTGTGCCCCAGGGGCAGGGCCAGCACAGCAGGCTGGGGGATCAATCCCTGGCCCCTGCATCTGTTTGCAGCCAATTTAATCCACTGAGTTATTTGAACGGTCCTCTATTCTAATAATTTTAAGGTTACCCATGCAATCAGAGAACAATATGCTGCTGTTGTTTCTCCTCTATTTTTCATTTTCTTTACTTTTTTTTTTTTTTTTTTGTGGTACCAGGGCTTGAACTCAGGACCTTGTGGTTACCAGCAGGTGCTTATGCTGCTGAGCTATCTCCCTGGCACCTCTTCCGTTTTTCAATGTTTTTAAGGAGGTACAATTCATACACTATATAATCCTTCATTATTAATACAGGATGCTCTACGATGAATCTTGTAGAAAAAATGGACTATTTTTTTCAACTTGGACCTAGCACAGTGTTCAGAAGTTAATGAATGTTCTTTCCATAGCTCTGAATTTAACTCTAGAAATGTATCTACTCTATATTTGGTTTAAATATAGCATTTTTATAGGTTAAGTATAGCATTTTATAGACTTATTTGGTGGGTATAATCCATCATTTATAAAGTGTCCAGGGAAAAATGTATATTCAAAACAAAAACGAAGGGCTAGTAGAAGCCTTCCAATACTTTTCTTCTGATAAATAAGTTAGATCACACACTACCAGTCCTACATCTCCAGTTCTCCCTAGTGATCTCCAGTAACTTCCAACCTCCAGATTATGAAATAATATCACTGAAAGAAAGGCTTCTGAGGAATGATAGATACTTTCTTCAAAGTAAAACCAATATTTTTAAAATAGAGCTCTTTTCAGGAGGCTCTCAGCAAGTATACAAAAGAGAACAGGGCTTACATATTCCTGCTGAATAAGTCAGTAAACACATGGAAAGCCTTCCTACCAGGGCATGACCCTATCTTTTCTTTTTCCTATTTTTTTTTGTAACATATTGTATGTTAAGCTTCCTTTTATGCCACTGCATTTATTTTAATAAAATCTGATATAAAGGAGTCCACTACTAACACGCATCATCTACCAAAGATACTGATTTGGAATCAAGACTAGTATTTAGACAGCACTGTCAAGTCTTATAACAATATATTTTCTATTCTAAAATTTATACTAATTATCACTAAATTCACAATGAAACAACTTTCAGGGTCAAGTACTGGCCTCACTCAGAATGTTGTAGATAATTTCCAGATAATGAGCACATTCCTCTAACTCTTGATAGAACGAGTCGACATCATAATCTTTATTTTACATGTCTCAGAGAATTGCACTTACCAAGAGGTTATGTATACGGTTATATGTTCAAGGCTAAAGATAAGGTATACTCTTAAGATTAGACAACTTTTATCTCTGATTCCCCTCTAGCAGATCAAGGCTCATTCCATTTAACTATGGTGCTATTAAACTTGTTAAACTCCTCTTATGTAATTTTCAGAGTAAAAAAATATATGCCATATAAATATTCATTGAAAACATTTGTCTGACTGGAACAAAACGTTCACCATTTCATAAAAAGTTATTGTGACTAAAACAGTCCACCATCTAAAAACCAAATTGCATTATCTGCAAGCTCTTTAGAGCAGGGGTTCATGTCTTTTACAATCAATCCACCCATAGTAGCTTATTCCTAGAGGAAGCTTTGTGAAAGCCAAATAGAGAGTCATAGATATGATTGGGTACTTTGAAAATTTCATATGCTTAACTGTAAATTTCCACATAATTGCTCACCTCTTCCAGTTGGCATGCTTTGATAACACTCCTGTATCTGTACTCATCATAGGAAACACCAAAGATGATATTTTCTTTGATGGTGCCGGGCATTATCCAGGAGAACTGAGAGCAGAATGAAATTCTTCCACTATGTTTGATTTTCCCTTCTGAAGGCTCCAGTTCCCCCAGAATCATCATTAAAAGTGAAGTCTGAAAATAAAAATCAAATCACTGTTATTAAATTGTTCCACCAAGCCACTGTCAGGATTCATTGCCTCCGATTAGCATCCTCAACAAAGGTATCTACCCTATTTTAAAAGAAGCTGTAACTTGGTGATTTAAAATGCTTTAATTACTGCCCATCCCAGATCCTCTGCTATGCACAAAAGACTCAGCATGAATAAATGCCACAGTTATAATGCAAAGTCAGAGTTGCTGTTGCAGAAGGTCACAGGGAAGGGTTACCTTCAGACTGCTGGCTTGGGTTTAGAGGAGATTTGGGACAGACAATACAACTACTATCTGGTGAGTGATCGCTCACTCTGTAGGTCAAATGTCTTGTGCCTTGGCTGTATTAATTTTTTTCTCTTCATAATATTCTGCAAAACACATTCAGTATTTTTTCATCTTACAAATGAGAAACTAGGTAAAAAGAGGTATATTCATGCACAGTTCCCAAAGGCCTTTTTTATTTTTCAAGAAATGATAGACCATCTTTTGTGCAACAGATAATACAAAAAATTATCAGTGATAAAAGATATGAACTAAAGTTAAAATAAATGGTAGAATTTGAGTTGAAGAATGAAATGTCAGTGTATTATATGCTCTGTCAATAAGAAAAGTAGGGGGCGGGGAGATAGCTTAGTAGAATAAGTGCTTGCCTGGCAAGTGCAAGGGCCTGAGTTCAATCCCTGGTTTCACAAAAAAAAAAAAAAAAAAAAGAAAGAAAGAAAAGAGAAAAGTGTAAGTGAAAACCAAATATACAAAACAGAGGATATGCAGGGTACAGGAGAAAGCTTCGGTTGCCTTACCAAGAAAAGCAGCATGTTCAAAGGATTATCATGTAAAGTTAACAGATCAGGTCATACAAGCATACCGGACAAAACAAAGATAAATGGTAAGATAATATTGACCAAAATGAAAGGAGAAATTGAGGGGAAAACAGAAGAAAAAGTATTGAATTTTATCAGAGCTCAAAATAAAAAGAATTTTATCAGAGCTCATATAAATGAACTAAAGATAGTGAAAGACTTAAAGTTATTACAAATATAATCTCTAGAGCAAAATATAGACTTTCTTTTAAAAATCATACTATAGGCATCCCTTGACATCCCGGGGGATTGGTGGGGAAGCAGGTGTAGCCCTTCTTTACGCAAGCATCAAAACCTGCAGGCGCTCATGTCCCGTACATAAAGTAGGGTAGCATTTGCACCCTGTACACAGCCTCCCTGCACTCATAAAACCGTGTACAACATAAATTCTACGCAAATGGCTGCTCTATGCTTTACTTAGGGAACAATGGCAAAGCCTGTGCATGCTCAGCACAGACACATCTGCTTCATTTAAAATTTGATCTGTGGTTAGCTGAAGCAAGGATGCAGAATCCAGAGCCGATACAAGGTTATCTGTGTCTACCTATTCAGTGATATTTTCATTCATCTTCATAGCTCCCAAAATATTGATGAAACTCCTTTCAGACTTTTACCTTGTGCTTAAAAAGTAAGCAAAATGTGAGCTAATAGGTTATTGTACACATCTGATGACCCACCGTAAGGGCCAGTCCCAGGCAGAGTGAGGCAGGACACAGGATAGAGACCATGTGGTCTCAGGGTTTGTCCACAGGCCACAGAACTACTCAGTTGCAGCTGGACAAACAGAAGGGTGGAAAGCCCCACCCCAGTCTGATGTCACATGCCAGATTTTACTCAAGGGCACTGTGGCACAGACTCCCTCAACATTGTTTCAAAAAACAACCCAAGGAATATTCCTAAGTGCAAGATACCTAATGCAGATTGGAACACAACAAAAAGCATTTTCCTAAAGATGTTTAATTAAAATTTGTGAAATGTGCCTACTGCATGCTAAGCACAATGTGTGATAATCCTTAGATTAAAAATGAAGACGTTGTGCCAGAAATCTAGAAGGGCAATAAAATTGAACATGAACTTATTATTTTTTATCAATGAGATATATTAATTTGTTGAAATGTTGAAAATCAAGAGATGTAAAATACATCCAGGGGACTTGCCGGTTAGCTCACTTATTTGGGCCAGCCAAAGAGCTCAGCGGATTAAAGCGCCTGCAGGCAGGTGCAGGGGCTGAGAGTGCCATCCCCAGGCCTGCGTGCGGGCCCCACCCCGGGGGCGCACTAAGACAGCAAGTGAGACTGGGCGTGGTGGCGCACGCCTGGAATCCCAGCTCTTGGGAGGCTGTAACCAGATGGATCACTGTGTGATCTAGTAGTGAGACAGTGAACACCCTGTAGACCCTTCCCTAAAATACAATCAATCAATCAATCAATCAATCAATCAATAAAATACATCCAAAGTCTCACATACACACTCAAGGTCTCTGATGTTGGATATATAAAATATGGGTCATAATATCTAAACCTGTTGTCTTTCATAATTTAACAGCACATGAAATAAACATTCTTCAAAGTAATTCTTTAATACTCATTTAGTTGACTTAATACACTATACCAAAATTTATTCAGCCAATGCCCTACTATTAGGCATTTCTGAAGTTTTTTCTCAATATTTAGCTGTTGAAAATAATTCTGAAAGCCAATCTTCTTCATTGTTTTAGTAACTTTCTAGACATATTTTTATATGCATGGAATCAATATATTTTATTGTTCCTCACCTCTTTTTTCATATAAAAATACCACAAGCTTTATTCCTTTTCTAAGTATATACCTTAGAGCATTTTCCATACTCAAATAAGAGAAAAATTCCATGTGCATGCACATTTCTATTATTTGCAAATAAAATTCCACAAACATATAATCTCTATAAATATATTAAAATGTGATATGCAAATTAGAAGGCTTACAGGTATTCTCAAGGCTTTTGGTACAAATTTAAAAATTGAGCTGAAATTTAACTTAAAATGTGAATATTTTCTAATTTTCAATCTTTTATTTTTGCTATATCCTTTTTCCGAAGAAGATAAAAAGCTCCATTCCTAATACTATAAAATGGCAACCTCCTGAATTCAGTTGGAAAACTCAGCATTGTGTAGTTTTTCCTGACAGACCACAGCTTTCTTCTGACTTTCTTCCCAGCTGTGGCCATCAGATGCAAGTGCAGGTCCAGCCAGTAATTACCTGCTCATCAATTTTTTTTTTTTTTTTTTTGCAGAACCAGGGATTGAACTCAGACCCTTGCGCTTGCCAGGGAAGCACTTAATCCACTGAGCCGTCTCCCCTGGCCCATCTGCCCATCAATTTTTAATAGAACTGTGTGAAATTTAATTGCTCAACACACAATTGGTAATTCCAAAGCTATTGTTGCACATCTTTCATACAATTGATCTCATACACATAAACAATTAATTTCTAAAATTCTATGAAACTCAAGTACTAATCTTTCACAAGCAAACAACCTTGTAGATCATCTGTAACTTCTTTATTTAATTACAGATTTTTTAATAGTGAAAACTGCCAGCAATATTATGGCAAACCAGGAAAAAAACTCTAAGAAGAAAGATCCTTCAAAAGCAGCTAAAGCCTAATTACAGCTAGTTTATTTTAAAGGCCTGGGTCATAAGTAGGAAAGTAACTACAAAGAGAAATGAACAGATTGTATTACTAGCATGGTGGATACCACATTCATTTACTAAATAATTTTGATGGTATTTTGGCCAAGTCTCAAGAAAAATTCTTCAACGAACATTTCTCTCTTTAAATATGTATAAATAATTGCCTTTCAGGAGTCTTACTTTCTATTTTCATTTACATTTCTATCTTACATTATCTTACAGAAGCCCACTTTTCCTTCCTTCCTTATTCTCCTTCCTTCCTTCCTTCCTTCTTTCCTTTCTTCTTTTTTCCCTTTCTTCCTTCCCTCCTCCTTCTCAAGTCTTCCTCCCATCCTTCCTCTTCTTCCTTTTTTATCATAATTACTTGGATAGAATTCTATAAAAGGGATTGGGGAGACAGCTCAGTAGAATAAGCACTTTCCTGTCAAGTGCAAGGGTCTGAATTCAATCCCTGGTTCTGAAAAAAAAAAAAAAAAAAAAAGAATTCTGTAAAGTATCTTGAAAAGTTTCCCCAAAAAATCACTAAATTTTTCCTAATATTTTTAGAACGTCCCATAGCTAACATGACGGTCAAATGTGATCAAGAACCTATTTTTGGGCCAGCAAGATAGCTCAGCAGACTAAGCGCCTGCTTAGGCAAGTGCAGGGACCAGGGTTTGATCTCCAGCTCCACATGCTGCACCAGCCGCAACCCCAGGTACACTGAGCTGGCCTCAAGTACAGGCATGCTGGAGCACACCTGCAGTCCCCGTGCTGGGAGCCTGAAAACAGGAAGATCACTACAAGTCTGAGCTGCATAGTGAGACCCTGTACCAGTTACATTAAAAAAAGAAGCTATTTTTATAGACCCCCCAAAATACCCCATAGTGCATTCCAATATAAGGAAGCACTTTCTTCTAATTTGATTCCATTGCATCCTTTAAATGCATTTCTTCAGTAGTTAAAAACATACACATTTATCATAACTGTATGATAACTCATATCTTTAAAGATCACTATAAAGTCTCTTCTGATAATAAAGTTCACTCAGTCAGTTGTTTTTCTTTTAAACTACTAGTGCTTGTCAGACATGTCTGCAAAATCCTTGAGTTCACATAAGTTGTTCTTGGAGTTGTGTGGAGAGGATGACTGGTGAATAAATCATTTTCTAAAAAAAAAATTCTCCCATTCAATAGCTTTTCACAGTATATCAGAAGCAAGTTTGAATCCATTCTCCAAATTTCTAACATCGACAAAACAGGGACTACTTGGTCACTGAGACCAAATTTCAGTGATGATTTTCTTGTACCAGCTATAAAAAGTTGTGCTAAGGACTGGTTAAAACGGATGGTTTAGTTGTTCAATAGTTACCAAAAGCCTACCATATACAAGATACTGTGTTAAATGCTATGAAAAACAGAAAGAAATAGAAAGTCAATAGAAATAATATAAATAAATAAAAAAGTAGAAAGAATTACGAATGCTACTATTTGTAATGGAGTATTTTATAATTTTTCCTAAAAGGCCGTAGCCTTCTTCTGTCTTTCTCCTCCTCTCTCATGCTCCATGGAAGCTTTAGGCAGTAGCTTTAGACCAAAGTACACTGTACCCAAGCACTCAAATACCCCTGTAAGAATCACTTCAGATTACCTTGTTCAATTGTAGATTCATCAGGGGAAAAGTGATAAATGCGTGCAAAATTAAATTCTTAATAATAAGGAATAAGAGACTACCTTGCCTGCTCCAGTAGATCCAGCCACAGCCAACAGCTGTCCTTTTTCTATCTTAAAGTTGATATCTTTTAAGACAGGGCTACCAAGAAGGGAGAAGTTACTGAAGAAGAGGCTGTTATCAGCACTGGAAATCTTTCTGTTGCTGTTGTTCAGTTTTGCTTTCTCGAATAATTCCCCAAATCCCTGTTAAAAATAAGAGATACTTTTTTTTAGATATTTTCCATAGGTACTTGTTTTATATATAATTAGTGTGAAAGGCACAAGGCACATGATTAATTTTTAAAACAAATATTATTACTTTGTAGTATATAATTACACAGCACAGGATTTCTAGGGCACGTGATCAAAACATTTAAAAATTACAAATACAGTATTCATGGAAACAAAATAGCCCTTTCTCAGATCCTTGCCTACTGGTAAATTTTAAATGTAAATTTAACTTAAAATTATATACACCCCTTTTCTTACAAGCTACATACATATACATTCTTATTTAATCCTCAGCATACTATATAAAATAGATTTCATAATCTTCTTTCAAATCTGTAGTCTCTGAGTGTGAAAGGATAACCAGCCTAAGTTATGAAACCAATAGGTCACAGAAAGGAAGCACAGACTAAGTCTGACTTCTGCCCTGGTACCTCCTTCCTCTGAGGAACTCAAAGCATGTCTTTAATAACTGGGGACTATAAATGTGATGAGATTGCATGTGATTTCCAATGAATTTATTTACGTATGAGCAGGGGGAGGGTTCTCCGTTTGAACAGTGTCTGCCTCTCCATGGCTTCCCTGGAAGCTTCAGGCGGTAGCTTTAAATCCAAGTGTGCAAAATGTTGGCTTTCCTTGTAGCCCTCCTTTTTCTCTAATTTTGGTCTGCAAACTTAGGTTGTTAACCGTCCGCATCTTGTACAGCAATTAATCACTAAGAAGAATATATGCAGTGTATTATTTGTTGAAACTGTACTTCTGATTTGATTTGAAACTGTCTCATTGCTATCTGTTTATCAATAAAACTTTGAAAAAAAAATCCAAGTGTGCAGCCCTAAAGACTGACCAGGAAGAAGCTGGTACACCTCGCCATAAGGAAACCTACTTCCAGATCGTCGCATCCAGGCACCAGAGCTATCCAAAGCCTTCCAACACGAACCTGCCTTAGAAGGTGCCTGCTGCCTCTCCTTTCCCTGACCCGCCTCCGTGTCACACGTGTCTTTCTCTCACTTTACCCAGGAGTAGCTGCCTCTCACTATGGAAATGGGTGCTACTCTTAGGAGGTTACCTTCCAAGAGTGAAAAAACTGGGACTCAAAGGAGGGGACCTGAAGGGAACGATCTTCTCAAAGAAGGTCTCACAAAAGCCAAGTCAGACTACTGAAAAAGGTAACGTCTTACTTCACCCAGATTTCCAAATTAAAGTGATCTGTGTCTCATCTATCTTAGAATTAAATTTCAGAAATGAGTTGAAGGAGGCATTTTGTTAAATTATTAAATTTTAGCAATTTTTAAGATAGATTATCTGTATTTTTTTTTTGTACCAAGGATTTAACTCAGGACCTTGCACCTACCAGGTAGGTGTTTATTCCACTGAGCTATAACCCCAGCCCAATTATCTGTATCTTAAAATCACACTTCTACTGAGAAAAAGTAAGCCATATTTAGGTGACTGGCTTGACAGTGACAAATGCCTTCATAAATTCATTTATTTACCATAAATTAAATCAACTGCAAGGACATTCTAAAATTTTGACAAAAATGCGCTCGATATATCTAGACAACATTAATAAACAGAAATATTAACAAGTCAACCTTCAAAAGCAGGGGCCAGGGAGATAGCTCAGTAGATTAAGCACTTGCCTGGCAAGCGCAAGGGTCTGAGTTCAATCCCCGGATCCACAAAAAAAAAAATTCAAATGCATCAAAGGTTTTTCAAAATTCTTTTAGTGTATACGAACTTGAAGTCTACTCCAAGTTCTCATGATGTGAGTGGCTAACGGTTCCCCTCAGGGATCTGACAACTAAAAGTTAAACTTGTGTAGAGTGGGTGATGAAGCCTTAAAAAGTGACTCAGTGCTGCAGAGACAACTCAGCGGTCTAAGCACCTGCCTAGGCAAGCGTAAGGACCCCGGTTCAATCCCAGGTACCACATACTGTGCTGGCCCAGCACCGGGTGCACCAGCCAACTGACAAGACCGGGCATGGTGGCACACCCACCCCTATAATCCCCACAGTGGAGATTTGAGACAGGAGGATCATGACTGAGTCCAACCTGCGAAGTGAGACCCCATACCAAATACATTTAAAAAAAAGTGACTCAAAGGCATTTATTATGCCCTTATTCATTTATTTATCTAACAGGTACTTATTAAGTATCACGTCTACATTATAAACCACTTCAAATATCCCACATGGGACAATGACACATGCATGAGAATTAACATTGCAATCAATGTGCAAGGTGCTGCAGTTAAGAATCACATCAGGTCTGTAAGAGTAGCTTTGAAAGAGCAACCACCTCAGCCTCAACCAAGTCGATGGCACAGAGGCCAGCTGTGAAAGATGAGAGCGGGATTTCATAAAACCAAGAAACAGTTACATTGTTCCAGGAAAATGGATTTGGACGCATGATGACTCAGACCTGAAAGGATATTCCCAAGCATGGTGACTGGTTGTTTCAGTTGCACATAGCAAAATGACAAAGGGTGCCACACATAGAAACAGCTCTTTTAAACTGAAAAGAACTTGCTGTTAGTAACAATTCATAATTCTGATCACAACAGAAGATTGCTGTTAGTAACAATTCATAATTCTGATCACAGAAGACACTTATTTCAGGAAATTTGAAGAATGTGAATGCAGAAAAAAGAAAACAGAAATCACCTGTGGTATAGCCACATTTAACATTTTAATTCATTATTTTTTACTCTTCTATGTAAAAACAATAGACATTTTTACAATATTCATAAAAATTGTATCTAAGGTTTGTGACCTGTTTTCTGACATGTCATGAATATATTTACACATATCATTTAAAAGACAGTATCACAGAGTATCAACTATAAATAGCTTTCTATTGAATAGGTTCTCTTTTAATTTAATCAGTAATTCTATGATCCACAAGCTTCATTATAAATTGTGAGGCACATTTTTTAAGTGCTTGGTTTAGTATAAATTCTCACAGTAGAATTTCCAGGGAAAAGGTATATAAAATTCTAAGTCTTTCAAAACATAGTCCCAAATTTTCTTCTAGCAATGTATGAGAATGCTAGTTAGCAGGAATGAGTTATCAACACTTGCATTTTGGATTTGATTTGGCTTCATCTTTTTCCGTGCATATGTAGTGTTATATGTAAAAGTAGAATTTCACTATTAATTTTAATTATATTTATTTGACTTCTAATAGAACTGAACATTTTCCACAGTTATGGGGCCCCTGAAGTAGTGAGGGGATGGTTATGATACTCTTCATCTTTTTTTTTTTTTTGATACCCTTCATCTTTATCCCAGCCTACCTGTTATCTTCTCAGCTGGATGGGTAAAGTCAGACAAAGCATCAGAAATAGTTTTAGCTTAAGTTCCCTGAGTTGCTGAGAGCATGAAATGAGGTAATAGATGGGAAAGCATTTTGTATATTGTGAAGCATGAGTCAGTTCTTTAAAAAAAAAATCTAAGTGTCAGTGAATGAATGGAAAAGGCCTTGAAATCAAAGAAACATAGGCTGGTATATTAGCTCTACCCTTGGTAGTTGAGTAACCTTGTTCTATTTATGTAAACCCTTAAAGCCTCAACTTCCCTATACATAAATAGAAAATTTTACCTACTCTCAGGTTCAGGATAAGGAAGGATGCCTCTCCAGTGATGTCGTCAAAGGAGATGGAGAACATCCAGCTATGAGTGAGTTTATGAAGGTTAAGGGTAAGGAATGCCAAGTACATATCAAACATGCAGGAAATTGAGAAACACATATGAAGTTCAGGAAAGAAATGAGGGCCAGAGGTCTGTGTGTAAGAGTACTCAGCACACTGATGTCAGCTGAGCTGGGTGAAGTCACTGTCCGCACACAATACTGGAAGAGGCTCATGGGGACATAGTGGTCCCACACCACTGAAGTGACAGGTAGGGCAGAATTAGAAGCCATAGTTCAGGGTAGTTCACTAAGTTAAGTGATAAATTCTTGAGGAAAAAGGCAGTTGTAATACATCAGTGATGGTAAAACCCAGATTGCTCCAGAAAGAAGTCCACAGTGAAGAAATGAGAACATTTTGGATAACAAAGAAAAGATGAGTGATAAGGATTGGGGAATGAAGTTGAGTGGGTGCAGGTCAGGGAAGAAGTTTTTGAATTTGAAAATACTTCAGTATGACAGAGAAACAGTTCATAAAAAGACGTTGAAGCTTCCAAAGAGAGTAATTGCAGTTCCTGTTTTAAGAAACAAGAGAATATTTTAGACAATGGCAGACATTCATCTTTCTCTTAGACTGGAAATAAGGATGAAAAGGCAATTACAAGGGTCAAAGAGAAGTTGGAAGCACTCATCTGGCTTTGTTTATGTATTTAGTATAGAGTCTACAGTGCCTTGCTACACGTATCCGACTCTTGGTGATCCTCCTGTTTTCAGCCTCCCAAGCACTGGGATTTCAAGTGCGCACCACCACACCCAGCCTCATGTGCGGTCTTAGTGTGCCCTGGGGTTCAGGCCAGCATAGCATGCTGGGAATTGAACCCTGGGCCCTGCATCTGCCTAAGCAGGCACTTCAGTCCACTGTTATCTGGCCGGCCCTTGGAAGCACTCATTTGTAATGATGTTCTCTATTTTCTCTTTATTGTAGAAGACAGGACTCATGGTGGGCAGATTCTGAAAGGTTGGGGTCTTCAGGAAAGTGGTTAAAACTCTGGAACAGCTTTCAGGGAAATTAAAGGCAACTAATTAAAGATAAATGAAATTAGGGCCAGTGAGACAGCTCAGCAGGCTAAGTCCCTGCTTAGGCAAGCTCAGGAACTGGGTTTGATCCCCAGCACCACGTGCCAGATAGTCCCCAACCCCTGGCATGCTGAGCGGGCCACTGAGTGCTGGGGAGGCTAAAAACAGGAGGATCACTACAAGTTCAAGCTGTGTAGTGGGATCCTGCACCAAATAGATAAAGAAGAAAGAAAGAAAGAAAGAAAGAAAGAAAGAAAGAAAGAAAGAAAGAAAGAAAGAAAGAAAGAAAGAAAGAAAGTTGTTATATAAGAAAGAGTATAGACCCAACTGAGATTGAAACAATAAATATATAAAACTTGCATCTGAATAGAGTGTATAATTTTCCCAGATACTATTTCCTTCTCCAAGGGTAATAAAGTCAATATTTTGCACAGAGGAAGAAAGAAAAAGCAAAGGAAAAGGGAACTGAGAGAGCAATTGGGAGAAGCATAAGAATGACTGGTCTTGGGATAAGAGGAGCATAAACAAGAGGGGAAATCCAAAAGGTAGTGAGAGAATCCGAAGTCTTCAGGAAACTGAAAGGTAATAAAGGTAGGATCACAAGACTGGGAAATCTAGAGGATTAGCAAATTCTGGGCCAAAAAAAAAAGAGATTTCAGAGTGTGACATTTCCAAGGCAGGTTAAATCTTACCACTAACAAATTTCAGGATATGACAAAGAGATAACACTTCTGATGTCACTGGGAAATACCAGGTCTAAGGGACGTACTAGAAGAATCAGTCATTCAGACATTGAAGTTCCTCACATGACAGCAGAGGTTTAACAAGCACCACCAAGCTGCATAAATGCCATCTGGAGAGTAAGAGGTGATGTTAAGACTGAAGGCCCAATAGTAGCCAGTAGATCAATGAATGAGCTCTAGGCTGTGACATTCGAGCTCCAAATCCAGCTTCAACACTTCTCAATGATATGAGTTGAGCCAAGTCTCTTAGCTTTTCAAAGCCTCCAATTTTTCATCAGTAAAATGGAGTGGGAGCATTATAGGAGTGTTATAGAGTGCTGTAGTTTGGATCTGATATGTTCCAGTCCCTTTCCCCACAGGCCTGTTTTAAAACTGTGGTCCCCAATCCCCGCTGCTATTTGAAGGTAGCGGAACCTTTAATTGGTGGGACCCAGTTGGGGAAGTTAAAGCCTAGGGTATTTACTTGAAGGGAATAATGGGGCCACCATCTATCTCTCACTTGCTCCCACACTAAGATGAGAGCCCCCTCTTCCAGTTGTTCCATTGTGCTGCACCCAAAAAGCAATGGGCCAGCTAGGCATGGCCTGAAATCTCTGAAACTATGAGGCAACAATTAATCTTTTCTTTTGAAGTTGGTTATCTTGGTATTTTGGCCCAGTGACAGACAGCTGACTAAAAGATAAGAATTAGATGAGACAGAACATATATTTAGTGTGTATCCTAGCTGCTGGCACACAGCAAAGACTCAAGCATGCTATTTACTTTAGTAGATGGAGACAGGGGAGTGGAGGGCTTTGGAACCAGAGTGGAAACCAGTGATCTGAAGCTTGTAGTGAGTATATCAAAAGTAACGATTGGCCTTTTGTGCCCAGAAAGGCATTTGAAATTCCTAAAAGCAAAGTACTGAAACAAATCTGACTCACACTGTACTCCAAAATTCACTTTTGCTAGGCAGGTAAGGAGTTATTCCTTTACCTGTATCTTTTGAAAATGAAGTAAAAGGATATTATATTGACAAAATTATATAAATTATTCAATTTAAGATATCACCTAAGATTTAGAAATAGGACATTGGTCTCGTAACTCCTATTTTTACTCAATTGATGTAAGTGATAAAGAAGTAGGAACTCAGAAAGTGTTCTTGGCACTCAAATATTTCTTCTCTTGAGGCTGAAAATTTTAATATTTTTCTGACTGAATAATGTACGAGATTTTACATAGTGAATTAAAAAAAATAAAACTTATTGAAAAAAGATGCATTAGTATATCTCTCCTCATTGTTTTGTTGAATAATATATTATGTGAATTGTATTCTGATGAACACTTGTGTAAAGTGCCTTAGTCTTCAAATAAAAATTTTCAAGATAAATGTCGAAATTTTCCAATTTATAAATGAAGAAAAAAAAAAATGAAGAACCAGAGGCTCCTTGATGTTAAGTAACTAGATTTGGATTACGTAAAGAATAAATGGCAGAGGCAGGCCTGCAACCCAGGCTCAGAAAGTATGAGCTTTGGACTTCTGAATTTGTTACACAAAACAAATTATAAGACTTTAAAAGCAAGAGGATTTTATACCACCCCTCCTATTTCTAGGCTTCTGTTTATTAATTTATAAAATTAGTATCATTTCTACCATCATGCTAATTATTATTTTTCAGTCAGATGAAATCAGATTCACAAAGAAAAGATACTTGAGTCTTCATAGAAAACAATTTTTTGAATTCTCACCTCCTCCCAGAAGGCTGTTACATTTTCCATTACTACTTCTGTAGTCGTTAGGTTATATTCCAATGTCTTATATTCTTGTTTTTGTAAGAAATCCTATTTATTAAAGAGAGCAAAAACAGCAGAATCAGAATGACTTTAATACATTACATCTATTTGTATTATAATAGTTCTGCACATTATAAGTGGATTTTTTTAAATGTACTTGCTACGGGGTCTCACTACATAGCATGGACTTGTAGTGGTCCTCCTGTCTTCAGCCTCCTCAACACTGGGATTACAGGCACGTGTCACCATACCCAGTCTCAGTGGCCAGCTCAGCACACTTGGTGGCAGGGCCAGCACAGCACGTGATACCAGGGATCAAACCCCAGTCCCTGCGCCTGCCTAAGCAGGCACTTAGTCCACTGAGCTACCTTGCCAGCCCTATAAATAGATTTTAACAATTAGAGATTAACAAAAAAACTATGTCATAATATGCCAAAACTAATTGACAAGCACTGCAAGTCATTGTATTTGACGTACACTCCTGAAATACGTGGTATGTTATGAAACTGTCTTTGTACATAAGATTTCAACATACCACTAATCTTTCTGGATACTATTACATGTTAACCTTAGTGAAGAATTTATAAAATGCCCCTGAATTACTGACTAGGTGCCTCAGCTCGAAGTTAACGCAGAAAAAACCAACACCTTCACCTTAGAGCACATTTTCCACGAGATGTGTCTGGGTGAAGAGTTTGGAAACCTGATATCCTTAGTCTAAAGGCACCCAAGTGTGATTCTAAGAGTGGGGCTCTCCTAGAGACTCCAGAGCACAGTTCATGAGGCAGTGAAGGCAGAGGCGTCCTGACATCTTCCCCAGAGTGAAGTCATGGGGAAACCTGCTTCTGGCCTGGCATGCTTCTCTGCTATCTTCTCTTTCTATCTTTTGGTTTCTCTCTTTTTCTCCCAGTCCAGTTTTGCGTCTCTGTCCCTGGGTTCCTGTTCAGTCATTCTCCAGTACTGTGATACACAGTCTCTCTCACTCCCTCACTCTCTCACTCTCTCTGTCTCTCTGCTATGATGGAATTAGCAGAGGAAATAAGATTATTCTCTGAAAAACTATGATTCTCAGCTACAGTCACTACTTTATCTGAATTGACTCAAACATTCTCAGGGGTCAAATGCACAACATAATTAGGGAAGCAGGCTGATAGAGAGATGAATGAGATAGGGCAGGGCTCTGACAGAGGGCAGCTGCCGTTGCTCGCAGGGAAGGAGGACCTAGATACAGAACTAGATAACATTCTTCAAGATGCTGCAGACCTGTGTGTGGCGGGGTGGGGTGTGGTAGGAAGGATACCTCCTACATTTTGAAGGCTGGCGTCCAATTACAATTTTAAAAATGGAAAGCCCAAACAAAAAGAGCTAGAACCTCCAGCATAGATAAAATAATGGCAGAAACTCATACAAGTTTCTATCTCATCCTTTACCTTCATTTCTATCATAGTGATTTATTTTCTGGGTTAAATATTTAAATTGATATTTAAATATTTAGTGAAGCATTTTCATTTGCTTTTTCAATATACACCATTCTTTCAGTTAGCTCTGTATTAATTAAATCTCCTCACTGAACACTTCCAAACTTCTGACAACTGGCAACCTCATCAGCATTGCTGGAATTTTAGGTACTTACTGTGGCAGACAGTGCCGTTTGCATTCATCAAACTATCCAGTGAAATGTTAGGAAAACTTTAATATGAACATTCCTAGCAATAGCTGGTAAGTTTTGTAACTTCCTATGGAAGAATGCTTCCTTTTCAATCTTTTTGCACATTTACAAAGTTGATTAGGAGTGATTTATTAATTTCTTTGATGACATTTTCCAGATTACAGAAATGACTATTTTTAATTTTTTTAACTTATAATAATGCTGTAGGACTTCATTTTATTTCACTTCCATCATAAGGGCTACATACACACATTAAGAAAAGAAATCCTGTGCATTAGATGGATAGGTCTAGGACCAATAGTTCATCTTTAGAGAGTTTGCTTGCTAGAAAAATTCTAAGATGTTCTGCAAAATTATAGCATGTGATACTCAGTTATGCCACTTTACCTGTATTTTATTTATTGCTCCAAGAGAGTCAAACCATGTTTGTACAGCCCAGGGAAACTGCCGTGTGATTGCCATGCGCAGAACAATACAGAATGAGATGGTTGTAAATATTTTTCGAAGTATAATTCCTTTGAGCAGTGCATATGGAAGCACAGATAAAAACACTACAAAGAACCCTGAGAAGAAGAAGGCCGAGCTATTGAAGTATCTCACATAGGCTGCTTTCCTGGTCAGTTTCAGTTCTGTTCTATGAAAAAAAAGAATAAAACGATTTGGGATGTTATCTTCTTTTTTAAATATCAGGCATTTTGGAATATAAGATTTGAACATGGGCTCTACAGTGGTTCTGATCCTGGCCATACCCTATCTGAGCTATGTAACCTTGGACAAGATGTGAAATCTCCTGGGCCTGTTACTTTATCTAAAAGGTAGACAGTAATGCACATACCAGTGTTTGGCACAAACACATATAAACATTACTGAGGTTTTAATAGTAATCAGTTATTATATTATTTTTATACCTTCATCACATCATTAAGATTTATAAAGAGTGATTTTTTTTTAGTTCATTGGCTTTTTGTTCAGTATGAAAAGAGTGGTTTATGAAAAAGACTATGATAACCAAATGGATTTTCATAAATTTAGAAATTTTACCTTGGCTCTGAGAAGAATGTTTCTTAAATGTTAGCATGGGTAAAATGAACTTACAGACCCTTATTAATGACCTCTTCAGACCCAAATCTACAGATAATGATGGATGAGTCAGCAGCAGATTGCCAGAAGCTATATTTTAGAAAAGAAAGCAAGTGACTCCGTGGCACAAGGGTCTTGGAAATTATGGGAGCAAATGCTGTGTCCTCTATCTTTCAGTGTAATTCTTTCCCATCAGATAGTACTTTCAATCTTCTAGCCTGAGTTGCAAATATGTACTATTTGTTGACACATATATGAAGTTCAAATGCTCCAACTGGCAGAAAGCAAGCACAGAGGCTGGGAAGAACAGAGGACAATGGGGCCTTGAACCTCGGCCCCACTCTCCCGGGAGCCATAATCCCTGGGGTCACCCATGAGCCTGCCTTTCCAGCTCTTTTATTTATTTTTTTTAAAGAATACAAAATAGTAGAAAAAAAAAAGAAAAGAAAAGAAAAGAAAGAAAGAAAATGCATTAGAAATGATACAAAATTTCGCTAAACAGAGTAATAGGAATTCAACAATGGTTGAATAACATGATGTTATCTTCAAATTATTGTTTAGGTTACCAGATATAAATGTGCAAAATTGGTTAAAAACAACAACAGAGTTATAAGAAAAGTTAAAAAGAAAAGAAATAAAAGAAAAAATGTTGAGCATTAACTGCTCCTTTCAAAAGACCAGCAGAAATCGGCAATACAACTCTCCAAATAGATGGTGGAGTATTATTCAGCTGTCTGTCCAGTCCTTGCACAGGCAAAGAGCACTAGTGCCACAGAAAAGGGAGGCCCGATGGGATCAAAGGGTAGCTGGGCTCAGGCTACTGCTGGAGGGCACGTGGCTTACAGGTGCTAGCTTAGAGGCTTGTATGATTCAGGGAACTAATTCTCACTCTCAAGTGGCAGAACTCAGAGGGAATCTATTTTCCTTGAATCTTGAAAGAAAAACAAAAATGCAATCCTTAGCACACTGCTGGAAATGGAATTCAACATGCCCAACCTAGACTCTGATCAGTCTAATGAGATCTAATGTTTACCTATTTCAGTAATCTGACACTGAAGACAGATTATGGCTTCGGAATCTCACATATGTTTATGACTCAGCCTTACTAGCTATAGCTGTAGCATCTTAAGCAAGTAGTTCTTTCCTCTGATTTCATCTAAAGGAAAGAAACATAATTCCTCCCTTGTTAAGTTCTTGTCAGGATTTAAGTACAGTACAGTCAAGGATCTAATATTTAGAATCTGCAATATGTATCCTTTTCCTCAATAGGAAAATATATATATACACACACACACATATTAGGTAGTAGTTATAAAATCATAGAAAATATTGTTTCTATAATTTTATATATTTATTTTAATAAAGATAAACAGTATATATATAATAAATATATATGTTTTTAATTTTACAAAAATGTTAGCAAAATGTCAAAGTTGTTGCTGAAATATATTAGGGCCAGTTGAGGGCTGGAGAGACAGCTTGGCAGTCTCAGCATCCGCCTGGCAGATCCAGGTTCGATACCTGGAGCCACATGCCATGCCAGCCCCAGAAGCCCGGGCGTGGTGGCGCACGCCTGTGATCCCAGCACTGGGGCAGCTAAGACAGGAGGCTCACTCACTACAAATCTGAGCTGCATAGCAAGACCCTGTACCCAATAAATAAATAAATACTTTTTAAAAACTTTTTTTAAAAAGGGACAGTTGAGAAAACCAAAGAGGTCATAACAAGAAAAGAATAAGGGATCCAAGAACACTTAAAATAATCACCCAGAAAGCAGTATTCACCATAATAAAATCATTAACACTATGAGTCATGAAGACAGTTTATCGGCTTCTTATAAAAAATTGAAAGTTACTTTATCACAAAAGAGCAATAAAAGGACAGCCTTTCAAGGAGCTCTGCGCCACAGCCTTTTCCCTAGTTCCACAGCGGCCCTGCTGAGGTAATCACCCCTTCGAAATGCATTTTGTCAGCCACTTCCAGAACATTATATTTGATCTCTTGAGTAGAAGCAACTCTTGCTTTCCGTATTTACATGAATACTTTCCAGCATTTTTAGGTAACAATTTCATGCTGGATTATACAAGATAAAACCAGATGTTTGCTACGAGAAATGGTTGAACAGAAATACAGAGTAGGAAGAATGGGTTTCATCATTTAAGGAAGAAGAAAAAAATAACTGTCAAGAAAAGTCAGCCTGGAGAATAACCTGGCCATGAGTTTTTCCTGAGGCTTGAGAAAACCAGATCTGCTGATAACCTCCTCCTCACCCTTACCATCTCCATGTGAGTAGGCACAGCATGATGAAGCAATCACTTGTTAATGAGGAAAAAGACAACTTCTATCAACTGAACAATTCTCCTGAGATCTTCAAGGGTATTTCAGGAAAGAAAATGAAATTCCCTTCCTGGATTTGTCTTGAAAGGCATAATAAAAACAGGTGCCTGACAATGTTTGGGAAATAAATACTCCTGTACGCTTTCTATTTACATGGCAAAGACTTAACATTTCACTATTTCATTTGTTGTTCCAATCACACACCTGTAGCTCAGTTAACTATTGTCTATTGAGTTCCTTGATAATCTATATTCATACCATCCCAAGGAGTACTCTTCTTTTTAATACACTTTTTCCTGTGAAACTTTCTTGTGCCATACATCTCACAATTAGTTTTCTTATTAGTGATATACTCCCATTGTCTCCTACAACTTTTTTTTATCGCAGTTTGTAAAACATGAAACTCAACTACTGAAAAATGGCTCTAGCTTATATTCTGACTGAAATCATCTCAGTTTATGCTGCACTCTCTTACTAGATGTGAGCTTTACTAACCAGTGAGAGATTATCTGGGATGAAAGGAGACTATGTAGAGGTGCCAAGTACTATTCCTTTCTCAGAAGATGCTTTCACTACTTGATCTGACTTCACCTTGAGGAACAGGCTATATGAATATGAAGTATGGGTACAACCACACGAATTATTCCTAAATTAAAGAACAAACATAATTTGACCAAGTGGAGGTTTTTATCATTGTTCATTAGATGATACAACACATAAGTTAACATATAATAATAGTCATTTATTCAGTTTAGAATTATATACTGTATCAGTTCCGATGAAGGCTTAATTAGCCGCTAAACATAATAATTCTAATCATAATGATTATCTTAATAAGATGAGAGTATTAAGAAAATATAGATATTATTTCATAAAATATGAATATCTTAGCAACATAATATAATTCTGGATCAACTATTCAAAACTATAGTAATTTCGTGCAACTAATGCTTGAATATTAACACACCTCAATATAATTGTTTCATTGACGCTCACTTCAAATATAAGCTGAAAATCCAACATGATAGACTCATTTTTTAAATATTAAGAATAAAATTGGTAGCAGTATTGTTATCATGAAAACTTACTGTCTTAGGCTTTCAATCATTTTTTCCATTGCTTCCTCCCAGCAGTATGCTTTAACGGACTGGATATTTTCAATCATTTCTGAGGTGATCACAAGTCTTTCATTGATCTTTCCAGCTCTCTGATCTCTGTAAATCAATCAACCAATAGTGAGAATAAGTCAAACTATCCATTAAGAACTGCTCAAGCCAGCTATGGGGGTGCTTGCCTATAATCTCATCTACCTAGGAGGTTGAGACAGAAGGATTTCAAGTTCAAATGTAGCCTTGGGAATTTAGCAAGACCATGTCTCAAAATTTAATTTTTAAAAAGAACTGGAAACATAGCTCAATAGTAGAATGTTTACTCAAGGCCCTGGTATGCACAAGGGCCTGGATTCAACACCAGAACTTCAGAAGGAAAAAAAAAATATGCTCAAAGTTTTAAGAATAGCCACATTTCTTTTATTAATCAGATGAGCATTTATTTTATTATAAGGTAGTTGGTGGTAAAAACACTACTTAGCACTTAGTAAATGCCTCCTATGTGTTGTACACTGTATTTAATGGATTCTAGACACTACCTATGATTGTCATGGCAGTCTATGAAAAGTTATTGTTTCTATTTAGAAAACCAGATGGAGGGCCAGCAAGATAGCTCAGCGGACTATGTGCCTGCTTTGGCAAGTACAGGGACCGGGGCTTGATCCCCAGTACCGCATGCTGTGCTGGTCCTGCCCCTGGGGTGCGCTGAGCCAGCAGCAGAGTCCAGGTGTGGTGGCACATGCCTGTAATGCCAGCACTGGGGAGGCTGAAAGTGGGAGGATCACTGCAAGTCTGAGCTGCATAGTGAGACTCTGCACCAAATACATACATGAGAAAAAAAAAAAAAAGATGGAAAACATGTACAACTTAAGCTTCAAGTAAAGGACTCCAAAATCCGTACAGTGTCTATCATGCTCTAGCTGACAAGCTCTAGAAATCCCCTACCATAAACAATGCCTGGCATCATGGACTCATTCTAGAAATAAAGAAATTAAGACTGGTGTGATGATCTAACCAATGAACTTCATACAAAATTCATGTATATTCTCCAATTCTTATAAATGTTGTATTCATTTTTACTTAAATATTATGAACTGCAAATATGCACTGAATTTTAACCTATTTGTAAAGAAGTTCTATGGACTGAGAAGCAACAATGTTTCACTGGTATAGGAAGTTTTATTTATGCTGCTAAAATACATATTTTTTCAGTGATACCATACAGATCACAATTCAGTGCCTATTCAAGTCTTGGTTTCACTAGAACGAGCTTTTTAAAACCTTTTTAAATGATAACAATAGACTTCTACCTGTACTTCATCATCATTTTCCCCAGCCCTGCTTGGAAAAGGGCGAGGACTACTAGGCAAGCCAGGCCACAGAAAGCAGAGGCCTGCAGCAGGTCCCAGAGCAGCCCCATCAGCAGAGCCACCTGGAGAGGAGCAATCCACACGAAATGTGCCAGCGCAAGGCCCTGAAAGAGAAAAGCACAGCAAAGGCGAGGGGCATGTTACTGTCAGCCCCAAATCAAGCAGATTAACACTCTTACAGGAAAGAAAATGACCTGGTACTTAAGCAATCAAACACTTCATGATTCTGAGGATATTAAAATCTAGGTATCACTTACTTGGAACATACAGAATATATATTCTACACATAACACTAGGTTTTCCAAAGTCACTGAACATTTTAAGTCTGTTTTCATTCAATGGAGTTGAGAGAAAATATCTTAAGTACTATGTCCACAATCAATTCTAAATAACATCTCTTTTTTTATAAACCAAAAGCCATAACATAGAACTCAAGGGAACAGAAGACTTTCCTCACATAGAGCTGCTCTTCTCTGCTAAGTGATAGGGACATGAAAATAGACACAGCATATGCTCAGCTCAGCAATAACTTGTGTAGCACCTTTTATAGGTCCAATGCTAAACCAAATACTAGAAATGAAAAAATAAATAAAATAGACTTTATGTCCTCAAGGACCTTGACTTTGTCACATAAGACGACACAGAACAGACATTGCTCAAAGTATCATATTCAGGCAAAGTAAATAACCAATTTAAAGTATTAAAAGGAAGCAAAGTTTGATAAGGATTAAGTTTTGAAAAACTAAGAGCTAGCTGAGGTGCCCTTGAGTTGGACAGGGCCACCAGCGTCACAGCGGCACTCTGTTATGCAATGTAGGTTTCTCGGTTTCCAGAAACAGTCAAGGGAGGTATGAGGGAGACTTAACCACTTCTTACTGCTATCACACATAGGAACTTCAGCTTTGGGGTCACACAGTTTCTAACATAATCCATAAAAGCTTTAGTTAATAGGTACGTACTTCGTCAAATTTGTTCAGGTTGTTGGAAAGGAGACTAACAAGTTGTCCAATGCTTATTTTATCTAGAACGCGGCTTGACAGCTTTAAAGTCTAAAAGAGACATTGGTTAGATGATGTCAACAAACAAAAGGCAAATTTATTTAAAAGTAACATTATAATAAAGCTAAGGAATCAGGCTACTGTGCATGCAGTTTTAAGTAAAGGTAATAAAAATTATATTATGTTCACTCAGCTTTGTATCATCTCAGATTTACAAAGATTTTTCTTAATAGCAAATAGTTTGACACTGCTCCAGTCATTTTATTTTCCTGCATATAAACAGCACTAACTATTTTTTCACTTACAAAATAATAATGGTATTGTACATAAGCATCTATTTAAACAATGTGAGCTTCTAGGGATGGATTTGCTTTTACTTATGAGATGGAATCAAAGACACAGAAACTTGGGATTAAAAACTCGGCATTGAATTTTTCATGAATTTTCCTACACTATCTTTTTTGAATAAAAGTGCTGTTAAACTCAAAAACATGTTATAAATACTGAAGTCATTAAAAATTTTTGACAGTATATGAAAAATAAAAATAAAATTTTACAAAGAAAAAAGTGCTATGTGTAAAATGCTTAAATCAAAAAAAGTCTACAAATTAAAGCTATTAAATTATAATATGAAACATCATAACAACACTTTGCCTGCAAAATATAATATGAATTGATTTGCTATTAGATGCTTTGACCAGAAAGCACCCGTCTAATATATGTTCCAAATGAATCAAATTAATCACATTCTTATTGAGCACTTAGTAGATGTAAATCACCATACTAATGTCCTGGCAACTAAAATTTATTAAAACATAATTCCTGCCTCAAGGCAGCACAGGACATAAGTAACTAAGAATGAGAAGCTAATGAGTTAAGGGAAATAGAAAATAATATGGTTAATGGAAAGTTTATACTTCTGGTTAGGAAAATCTCGAAAGATTTGGTAGAGACAGGTCTGGATCAATGGCCAGAAAAGCAGAGATGAAGAAGGAATCAGAGGAATGAATTCTAAATTTCTCAGAGCAATACTGGGCTGAGGGGGTGTTCCACTGAGTTGGTTTTCATGTGGCTTAGAGGTAGACCCGGGTCCCAGCGAACTTGAGTTTGCACAGGGTAAAATATGGAGGTGTGTGCACAGGAATCATTTAGTGTTTGGGTAGTAATCTATTGTTTCTGAATTCTCAAGATTCACAGACAAAGCTTAATTACGTCTGTATTTAAACCCATTTTTTCAAATGTAATGTCTATGGTTGCATAATCTGAAAAAGAACCAAAAAATGTATGCTCTATTACAAAATTTGAAATATTATTGAAAGGGTCCTTCTGCATAATGGTAATAAAAGAGGCCAGATATGAGGAAAAGGGGACCCAGGAAGAGTCAAGTCAAGGTTCCACCGAGGAACCAAACCAGCCACTTGGAGAGGCCGCTTAGGTCTCTGTTGTACTCTTCAGCGATGATGCCAAGATAAGGCAGTGAGTGTGGCTAGCAAGATAAAGCAAACTAGGTAAGAAAACAGATACATAACATTGAAAAAGAAAAATAGATACAACAGCCTCCAACTGTTCATTAACTCATACTGGATCCACTGCACATTTACTACTGTTTTATGTTAAATATTACATGCAGATTTGTTTACAAACTAAGCTCATTCTTTTATCTGACACCACTTCACCTTACTACTATATTTCAGTACTTACTTCTTTTCCCCTAATGGGTAGAAATTATCTACTTCAGAAATTGTAATTTTCCTACTTTGAAATTTGAAGCAGTTTTTCCAGAAATTCTGGGCTTTTAGGTCACTATTTTCTCATTAATAAAACAGAGATAATATGTCCTAACATATTGATTGTGGGGTGCGTCAAATGAGGACATACACCTAGATCAACTGGAAGCTTGCCAAGCACACTCTTCCCTGGTATTATTATGATAACAAGTAATCCTTAGAAATATTTACTGAATTAAATTCAACTGTCTTTGATAGCAATGTTATAGGTTCTATTCCTAATAATTCCTCATTTTTGACTTATATAAAATTTCTCAATCAAAATACAATTTTTATAGATTTATCATCACATTTTTTTCTGGAACTTCTGAACTAATGAGGTTGTAGCTGAAGGGATTCAGTTACTGACTCCATGTTTTCCATTGCTTCAGTAAGAGCTTTTCGGACAACAAAGGATGGCCATTGACATTTTACAGCACAATAGACCTTGCATGCATATCATGGAATTGTTATGGATTATTTGCCAGAGGTGAATTTTATATCCATATTCATTATAAGCTAAATACCTCAAATTTTTATATGGAGGGAAGAAAAAATAAAACAATAGCCAAGTTATTTAATCAAATCAGTGTTCTTTAATGACTTGCTAGAACCAAGCAATCACATATTTTGTTGAACAGATTGGTGGAAGCACTTATCATATGCATGACCTTCAACTATGTTCATAAGGTGAATTCACCTAAATCAAGCCTCAGAGACTTGGACACTTGTCTAGATAATTCACAAGGAAAAACAATAAATTCTTATGGCTGCAATATACATGACATTTCATAGTTTGGCAAAAAATGAAGGAGACCAAGAGCTGGATAGGGGATAGGGAAGAGGATGAACTCAGAATTATAATGTGTTAATATGTGTACCAACTCCTCACATGGAATATAATCATTCTACACAGCAAACGTATCAATATAATATAAATTACTAAATTAAAAAGTTTCAGATTCACAGAAAGTCAAAAATCCAACTAAAAATGAGGCTTTGAACATATGTTAATCATTTGTGACACTAAGTATCACCACTTGTGACAACTAGTTAAGGTAGAAATAATAATTGGTTAATAATCATAAGTAATTATGAATTATACTCATTAATGAACATGGCATTTTAGTATATATTTTCCATATACATTAAAGTAACATACAGTATGGATAAAAAAAATCCATGGATTTAAAAAAAAAATTGACCACTAGGGATGTAGGTCAGTGGAGAGCTCTTGCCTGCAATGGGAGAAGACCTGAGTTCAAACCTCAAACTGCCAAAAGAAGTAAAAACAGAAATAAACCTAATAATTAATTACATGGCTAAAAATGAAACTTATAGGCAGTTTAGAGAGGAAACTAATTATCACCTGAAGTAAACTGAATCATCAAGGAAAAGAAAATCATTACTTACTTCTGACGTTTATTTCGTGGGCATTTGAGAATAATTTCAGCATGTCCCTTACTTGTACCACCACCTACTTCAGGCCCTCAGGACAGGTGCCACAGAGAATACATGTGCCATGAATCTGTGCAAGAAAGTATTACCTTCTTATAAATCAAACTGAACATAGCTATCCTCATCTGCATTCCAATGTGATGAAGGCCAAAAATGGCTGGGTGTAGGAGCAGCGTCCTCACAGTAAAAAGCAGGCATAACCCTATGCCTAGGTAAATGGCGATGGAACGCTCTGCCTGGTTATCTGGGTCATAGGAAGCTATGATTCTTCCCAGTAAGAGAGGCTGTACTGATTTGGTGACTTCCTGCAGAAGAGAGAAAGCAGAGAAGTTATATTTCATTTCTGCCTTATAAAATGCCCTCATAATTTCTACACAAAAAGTCTCATTTTAGCCAGGTGTCATGGTGCATGCGTGCAGGAGGGCAACTTAACAACTTAGTGGGACCATATCTCAAAACAAAAATAAAAAATACAAAAGGGGCTGTCAGTGCAAAGGTCCTGGGTTCATCCTCAGTAACACACACACACACACACACACACACACGCACGCACACGCACACACACACACACGCACACACAGATATGGTCTGATCTTTAGATTTTGAACGGACACACAGAGAAGGTCCATCAAATATGGAATTTCTGACATTAGATACCTAATATCTGAGTATTTTGCAATACTCAGAATGAAAATAAAAAGCAGATTTGATTGGGGGAGTATTTTTGACTAAAAAGTAAATAATAGTCAAACATAAAAGGGTGCTTTGTGTAATGGGTTGTTAATTACCTAGATGGCAAAAAGCAGTTCCTAAAATTATTCTCATTTAATTTCATAACATCTTTAGGATGGTTATGGGGGCATTATGGCTTTCCTCTGCAAATGAAGAAATAGGTCATTAAGAGCAAGTGACTGATGTAATCTCACAAGAGAACTCTCAATAGCACTCGAGGAATGGTGCTATGTTCAGAATGAACATGGCTTCCCAAGCTAGCTGCCACAAGCAGGGCTGGCTGCAGAAAGGAGCAGCTGCCAGCACTCAGGGATTGCAAAGCCTCTTGCACTGCCATCCCCTTCCCCATCAAGAACAGGTACGGATTTCAGTATGGAATCTGCCAGTGGAATCTACAGCAGATGAGTTTCCAACAACTCAGTTCCTAAAAGGTCCTCAACTGATTGCTAAGCCAAACTGTCCATCAAATTCATTGCCACTTCTCCAAAATGTATGTACAGGAACACATTTGAATAAAGAAGTTCTAATTCTTATTCGTCTTGCTAAATTATCTTCAAAAGGAAAAGAAACATGATCCCCTATTTTGTCTCAGAATGATCTAATGATGCGGAGTATGGGAAGAAATCCTCTAAGGAGATGGTGTTATGCTAATTACTTTCATTGCAAATGTGTATTTCCAAACCTGACTGATCCGCACTGTACTGCTCTCTTTCCCCTTTTCATCTGTTTTTTATTTTCATTCTTCTACGATGTCTTTTCTAAACCTCATGTGCCCAGTACCACTAGCCCTCATTCTGAATAGGTTACCATGTAATCTACATCAATTTCATCCCCAGAGAATCTTACGTAGGTTAGGACCTACATAGAGCTGTCACTAGTCTGACTGACCAACTGTTTTATGCAGCTGCTCTTTCTGTAGCTTATATTCAAAACTTCATTTAGTAACGTAGAAATCAAGATCTAAAGGCAAGAAATTATTCAAAACTTTAAAAGTTCCCAAAGTAATCACAAATGTGAACTATTACAATTCTTTTTCTCACATATTTTATTTTTTAAAGAGAATACAAAATGGTAAAAGAAAAAGAAACATTAGAAACTACAGAATTTCACTGAACAATATAATAGGAATTTGACAGTGGTTGTTGTATTACATAATATTATCTTCAAATTAGTTGTTTAAATTACTAGATATAAACACGCAAAATTGAGGGAAAAAGAAAAAGAAAAAATTTAAGCATTAATTGCTCCTTTCAATAGACCCACACAGCCATATTTTAGATGAGTTTGAATTATAGTAAACAGACAGGAAGGTGCTGAAAAGAAAATTGTTGACTGCCTGCCCAGATATATAACGTGAATAGTTTGCCACACCCACTGAAGAAAACTTGTTTTTCAAAAAGTGCATAATTACAACTTAACACATATCATTTTATGCACGCTTTGTACTACTTTGTACTACATTGGTACACATTTTATATTAATTACATAGTTATACATCTTGAGAACATATATGTAGAATTGTTTTTGAGGTTGAAATTTTATGTCAATTGCATTACAGTGTGCTTTTTGCAGTGTTTTGTTTAATGTGGTATTTTGGAGACATCTCACCGATGTTTACACAGCTACCTTATTTGCTTTCCATGCTGTGTAACATGCCATCCCGTGGGGAAAATGTCAGGTTATTTGCCCATTGCCTACCCTGGGGCAGGTTGTATAGTTTCTACTCCTAATCTATTACAATCAGTGCAAATATTGGCTTGGAAGTTTTTATAAGGTTCCTTAGGTATCTGCCCAGCTTTCTGTAGACCAGATGATTTTATTCCAAAATAATGTTTAAATTAAGATATTTATTTAGATTTAAAATTCTTTATAAAGGGTATCTGAACTACAAATAGCTTCCTGTAGTGCATTTCTAACAATAATATTTAATTCTGAAATTTATTTTCACACTTATTTTCGTACTTTGTCCCAGAATGTTTATAAATTGTTTTTCATAGACAAAGGTCAATATCACATTTATTTGACTTATTTTTCCATTATTAGTGGGTTTTCCCTTGGGCAAGGTGGTCTTCTGAACTGGACACGCTACCCTTGCTGGGAGCATCATGTGTGGCCATGAGGCTTTGAACAGAGAGTATTTATGTTTTCCAGACGTACAAGATAAAGCATCATTTCTTGTTCGCTGCAAGACAGTGACTAGAAGGGTATGGAATGTGCCTGCTGCCTGAGAATTCAACTGCTCATATTTGCTTAGCATAAACGCCTTTTCCCTTTAAAAAATCCATTTTAGAGAAAAATTAGACTATATCAAAATTCTAGAACCACTGGTAAATACCACATTGCAGGAAAGTATTTCGAAGGAGTTGCTTTTGTCTATAGAATGCTAGAAAAATGGTCTGGAAAAAAAATACATATTTTGGGAATTGAGTTGTAGTGCAAGATTTTTGGAGTTAGAGATGGACAGGTTTGAGTAAGGGTTTTTTGTGTTAAGTAATTTAAACTAAATTCTCTGTCATTGAATCTCCATTATATGTTTTTATAACATGTCATCTCTTTCACAATAGAATCATTTCCTGAATTGTTATTTCATTTCAATTTACAAGAAAAAAAGTCAGAATTGGTGTTAGTCTGAATGGAGTAGCTCTTTCATGTTAGTTGTCATCATGCCTCGCCAAGAACTTAATCACCTTTCGAGTGACAATGACTATCTAAAAAGACACTGGTAGTATTACTTCGAGGAACATAGAGCATTTTATTCACAGAAAAAAACACAGTTTATTTTTTGCTAGAAAAATTCCAGTAACAGAGTCATTGCACTACAAACTTTACCAACACATGAAAGTATTAACATTCAAGGACAAAATCATCACTTCAAACTTCCCTCCCCACTACAGTTTTCCCTAATCTGTTTAATGCATCATGTTCTCTGTCATTTACAATGGAACCATTTACAGATATCACCCAATTTTTTTAATTTAGAAAAGAAAACAATGGTACCTGATACCTAGCTTAATCTATGAAGTATAGTCCTTTACAAAATTCACCCCTATGGGCTGGCAAGATAGGTCAGAGGACTAAGCACCTGCTTAGGCAAGTACAGGGACCGGGATTGGATCCCTACACCACCAGCCCTGCCAGCCCTGCCCCCGGGCGCACTGAGCTGGCCACCAAGACCAGGCGTGGTGGTGCACAACTGTAATCCCAGTGCTGGGGAGGCTGAAACAGGAGGATCACTACCAGTCTAAGCTGTAGTGAGACTCTACCAAATACATTTTAAAAAAAAAATCCCCCCAGAGAAACATATTCCTATATTCTTGGTCCATGAAAGCTGTATGTACTCTCGCTCAGACTATTTTCAGAAACACAAGGAATTTCCTGATTTGTTACTACATAGAATAATATAAGCAAAGTGAGGATTGCATGTAAGGAGAAAGAATATAAAATTATTTAATAAAATATTTTATCATACATATTAAGCAAAAATCAAGATAGAATCACTTACTGGTTCACTTAGGTAATAGAAGCTTGATACAAACATTTAAGCCACTGCAATAGTGATGTGAATGCTGAATTCAAGATTGTGAAACGCAAATTCTTATCCCAGCACATGAGCTACATTCTCTGTGTCACTTTAGTTCCTTCCATTCTTCGGATAGTTGTCGCTGAGAGGTGGAGCAGGCCTATTTTGAAGGTCCTCTCTGGTAATAACATCTTATTATATGATCTGCGTCTGCAGAGTGCCATGGAAGAAGCCAAGGATTCTTTGGGTAACTGCCCTGGCCTACATTCTACCACGATGATGGATGTGTTCTTGGAGGGGCACAGATGTGAACAGTGAATTCAAAATACCATCTTTGGAGGGGAGGTGTCAGGTTAGAAAATTACTCAAGTGACTGCATTCCTGATGGGAATAATCTTGGGTCTCATCTTAGATCAGTCTCCCAAGGAAAATTTAAAAGCCTGAAAATACCTCTGAGGAGACAGATTTGCTATCTCACAGAGATATTTTCTAGACCAGGGCTCAAAGTCACTGTGGGTGAATATAAATCCTTCAGCCATTTCTGATCCACAGTACCTGCATTCTTAGGTCAGCGGCTGAGTTCTGGAGATGGGAAAGTCTGCTTTGGCTGCACATTCAGACCATAAAGGAAAGTATTGTGAAAACAGGAAACTGGGCTCGGTTACATCAAATGAATTAATCATAAAAACTCACATTAAAAATTACCATTACAGAGCTGGCCAAATATTAGTGAGACCCTGAACACCCCATAGACCCTTTCCTAAAACATAAGAAAAGGAAAGAAAGGAGGGACAGAGGGAGGGAGGGAAGGATAGAGAAAGGGAAAGAAGGTAAAAGACATATAGACATATAAAATGTCACATAAAATAAAATGACATATAAAAATACCAGAATAAAAAGTGGACAATATAAAAAGGCAACTTAGACACATGAAAAATATAAAGGCACTATTAATATATAAAACCATTAGAAACCAAACATAATGTTAATAAATATAAGATGTTCTTAGCAACTTGAAACTTTCAAAAATTGATGTATCTATTGTTAGTGTGG